GACCATGTTTTCTTCCATTTGTTCTCGATCGTCTGCATCCATTATCCCAAATAGCAAGTGATATAATGAGCCCATGAATTCGAAAGGTGCACGTTTGGTTCTTGGTTTATTTTGTAGTATAAATAGTTTGTTATTATCTTCTAATTCTGCTATTCGTCTTTTTGTATTATTTAGTATTATATTACATTGGTCCTCGAAACTCTGTAGTTTCGTACACACTGCTCTCATTTTCCCTTCTAATTCACTCCCTTTCTTTAACATGTCAAAATATGAATCTAGGTTATAGTAAATAATTAGATCCCATGATGAGGTTACTATTTCTACTTCACCCATTGGATCTAAATAGATTGCTGAGTTGTTACCTAATTTTGAAATTGTTATCTTATCGCTTTTCGTTACTTCTGCACTTGATACCTGACAGAAGAGAGCTAAGACTAGCATTGCCATTAGTACTTTTAGTCTTGATCCTCCTTTCCCTCTCGAAGTATTCCCTTTTCATCTAAAAATGGATTCAAACTAATTATTTTACTCTTATTTTGTAAATATTTTTTTCCCAACAGCTTTCCTATTTCTGTTCTAAACTGACATGCTTGTTGTTGTTTAATAATTAATATTCTAGCGTTATTTAATTCTTCTACTGTTATATATTTTTGTGGCTTTTGTATCGTTTTTTTGGTTATGATTTTAATAAATCTAATAATAAATGCTACTACTTTTTGTAATTTTTGCATACAAGAATATCGTTTGATTAATTCACCTATTATATTCTTTTCTGAGTTTTCTATCATAGTGTTCACACTTATTTTTTCTTCATCTACATTTTCTTCTTCTTTTGGCCAATGGTTCTTTGATTTGGCTAACCACTTTGGCCCATTCCACCAAATTTCGCATTCTACTAATTTATAAGTATTGATTCCTCTGGATGCTATATCTGCTGGATTGTCTTCTGATTTTACATGATTCCATTTAATTTCTGACATTTTCCTAATCTCATCCGTTCTTTTTCTAATGAATTTATTTTTATTCAATCCGTTTTGGATCCAAGCTAATGTGATAGTGGAATCACTCCACGCAAAGATTTCAACATTAATTTTAATCGATTCTGTTATTTTAGAAATGAGTTTTGTCAAAAGATGGGCAGCGCATAGTTCCAATTTGGGAATAGTTTTACGATTTTTCTTGGGATTAACTTTACATTTACTAGCTAATATCATTACCGAATTACCTACTTTGGCATATACTACTGCTGCATAGGCTTTTTCAGAAGCATCAGCAAACCCATGAAACTGTACTTCAATATCTTTTTGTATTTTGACCCACCTAGGTATTCTTAGGTTTTGTAGATGTTTCAAATTATCTTGATACTCTTTCCATTCTTTGATTTCTTCTTTGGATAGTTCTTCATCCCATTTTTTATCAGTTAGCCATAGCTTTTGCATAAACAGTTTCCCTATTATGGTCACTGGAGCTAACCACCCTAAGGGATCATATATTTTAGCAAGTGTTGATAAGACTGTTCTTTTATTTATTGTTTTAATATTGTTGTCAGTGAAACTAAATTTGAATTCATCTTTGAGGGGTTCCCACTGTAGACCTAATGTTTTTATTGACTCATTCTCTTCAATGCTTAACACCTTATTTTCTTCATTTCTGTCTATTTCTTCAATTATTTCTGATTTATTTGAAATCCACTTTCTCAGATTAAATCCTACTTTTGCTAGTTCACTGGAAACACATTCAACAATTTCTTTACAGTTTTGTATGGACTCAGCGCCTGTCATAAGATCGTCCATATAAAAATCTGTTTTAATTATTTCTTTAATTGTTGCGTTATTGCAATTATTGGCTATGTCTAAAAGAACTCTAGTGGCTAAGTAAGGAGCTGATGCAGTACCATAAGTGACTGTGGTAAGCTTAAAGTTCTTTAGTTTTTTACTTGGAGAATCTCTCCAGACAATATATTGAAATTCTTGGTCATGTTTTGCTATTTTTATTTGCCTATACATTTTTTCTATATCTGCTGATACTACATATTCCCAGCGTCGCCATTTTAATATAATGTCAAATATATCTTTTGAACTCTTGGTCCCGTCCACATAATGTCATTTAGACTTTTCTTATTTGTTGTTTTTGCAGATGCGTCAAAAACTACCCTTAGCTTCGTTGTCAGACTACTATCTCTTAACACTGCCTGATGTGGTAAATAATATTTTCCTTCTTTATTTGTAGATATCATATGTCCTAACTGCAAGTATTCGTTCATGAAATTTGTGTAGTCTGTTCTTAATTTTTCATTTTTTTGCAGCTTTTTCTCTAAGCTAAGAAATCGAGCTATAGCTTGTGGCTTTGATTCTCCTAATTCATTTTCTTCTTTGAACGGAATTGTTACAACATATCTACCCCTTGAATCAATTTTTGTTGTATTCTGAAAATTTTTCTCACAAAATTCTATCTCTTTGACATCTTCTTCTTCTTCGTTTTCTAATTCCCAGAACCGATCTAGGTCTTCTATTGCAATACTTGTCGCTACTATCGTTGTTTTACCTTTTGATTTTGTACAACCTGATACAATCCAACCAAATTCAGTCTTTTGCCCAAGTAATCCATCTATCTTTACTATCCCATCTTTTAGTACGTGTGGATATAAGTCTGCACCTATTATTATGTCTACACGACCTGGTTTATAAAATTGTGGATCAGCTAAAGTGAAATTGTGCCATTGAGCCATGTCTATATTTGCTTTACTAACTGGGAGAGCTTTCATTAACTTTGATAATATGATGGCCTCAACCCTAAACTGTTCTTTATTTGGTTCTCTAGGTTTTATTATTAGCTTAACTTTGTGTTTCGACCTACAAGTATTTTCTGATGAGACACCACTTATTTCTGTCTCATTTCTGATTCTGGGTAAATTTAGCAACTGTGCGGCCTCCTCAGATATAATTGTTTTTTGAGATCCACTATCTATTAAGGCTCTTAAGTTGATATAATTCCCCTTTATTGCTTTAACTTTAATTATCGCTGTGGCTAATAAGGCCTCTTCATTTGTTACTACTGTATTAACTTTTTCTGTATTTATATGTAACATTGTATGATGAGGCTTCTTACAAAAGTAACAATTCATGCTACTTGTACACCTATTAGTATTCGTGTGTCTTAAACACCTCAAACATAACTGTATCTTTCTTGCAGCATCCAATCTTTCTCTTGGGACCATTGCCTTAAATTTCGTGCATTGCGTGGTACTATGACCTACTACTTTGCATATAGGACAATTGTAACCAGAGTGAATTTTCTTTTCCTCCTTATTTGAAGTGGATAATGAACAATGTCGCTGATCTAAGTAGTCCATTACGTCAGTCAGTAATTGTATTTCTTTTGTCTTTTTTATTTGGCTTTCGTATAATTGAAGTGCCTCTTTACTAAATTTTCTTAGTATTATGTGTGCAAAGATTTTATCAACTTCTTCTGAAAGTTGAGCCTTACTTTTAATTATATGTATTGACTCATTAATTGTATCAATAAAATAATTGATACTTTTGGATGAGTCAATATTTAAATTTGGAAGGTCCATTATTCGGTTCAATTGTTCCGAAAAAATTTTCCTTTTATTTTCATATCGCTTGGTAAGTAATTCCCAAGCGGTAGAATAATTATCTGCGGACCCCGTTAATAAATGAGCAACCATGCTCTTTGCTTCTCCTCGTAATGAGGATTTTAAGTAACTGAATTTGATAGAAGGAGTTAAATCTTCTCTTCTATCAATAAGGTCGCAAAATAATTCAGCGAATAAATCCCAATCTTTGACATCTCCAAAAAATATTGGGACTTGAATTTTTGGTAGACCCGGAAGGTTATCCATTTTTTCGTGGATTATGGGTTGAATTGGGGTGCCTTTTTTGGCTTCTAACGCACTGATTGCATTTTGCACATCAAAATCTAATTCATTAACCTCTTCGTCAAACATTTTGTTTGACACATATTTATTTCTTAGCTCCTGAACTAGCTTTGAAACTTTATTCCATAAATATTTAATTTTATTCTTTCGAATCTCGAAGATTCCTACGTTTCCTTTTGCAATGTCCTCATATACTTCTACTAAATATAGTTTTAACTGTTCGACTTTGCTTTCAAACTCTACTTCTTCTTCAGAGCTTTTGTGAACTGTGACTGCTCTAACATGCTTCACATCTTTATCTTCTTCTTTCTCAGCCCTCATAATTTCTAATTTCAAATCTTGTATGCTTTTCATCGCTTTATCAAATTCCTTATTGTTAAAGTATGCATGGTCTATTACCCCTACTTTTAACAATAAGGTATGATTATTTTCTAATTCTTCTTTTATTTTTTCTAACTCTCCTAAAATTTCGCTCGGTGGCCTAATTTCTTCAGATGAGTCTAGTTTTTTCAATCTGGACACTAAGTCCGATTGCATTTTCAAGAGCTTTATCACTTTTTCTGACAGCATTCTTTTTATTTTTATTTATATTTATTAAAAAAAAATTAAACTACGACTTATCTTTATTTTATCCGCGCTGTCCTCCTGTTGATCCAGTCTTCTCTGAAGGGGGCGCCTGATGATCTTGGTGATATTCCTCTTCCCGTTGGCCACTGACGGTTCTGATGAGTCGCTTTCTTTCGTCGAATTTCGCTGTAGTTTTACTCTGTCTCTCTTTTTGGATGGAGAACAGAAACCTTTTTGGTAGTATTCTGCCTCTCCGCACTTTGCGCGAGAGAACAGAATTACTTCGATTTTTTATTTTTTTGAACCGAATTTTTCGGATTTTTATTTATTATTTTTTTTAATTTTTTTCTGTCTCCGCACTTCACGCGAGAGAACAGAATCACTTCAATTTTTGTTTTTGTTTTTTGTTTTTCTCTCTCCGCACTTCACGAGAGAACCGAACTTTTCGGATTTTTAAATTTTTTTTTTTTTTTTTTTGGTCTAGTCCCTTTTTGGGAATGCAGACCCACCAGCACTACAAATTTTTCTTTTTTTAAATTTGAGCACCACTTTTAGTTTATATATGTATATACTCTGTCTCTTACCACTGGCGGGGGAAAACAGAGTAATATACTATATTTTTGTCTTAAGCTGAGTTTTAAAACTATCAGCATTAAGACGCTGGTTCCTTTCTCTGTGTCTCTTACCACGGGTGGGGGAAAACACAGAGAACGCCGAAGGACCAAAATGTTAGAGCGTTAAAATGAAAAACACTCCACATTTGCCGAATTCAAGATCTTAACTGAACTCTTTATTGCTTAAAATCCTAGTTCTTATATACCTAACAGAGACTCTTAAAACTACTTCCAGTCACTGGAAGGGTGCATTTTCTCACACAAACAAGTGCCCAGATGTTTACTTAAGTGTCCCTTTTTTTTGAATCTTTGGGCCCAGGCTCACGTTACATTTACATATATTAGACGCTGCATTGGTCGCTGCAACTAAGGGATGACATATTTATTACTTTGTGTCGGATAACGCGCAGGTTATTCGAGTACTGTCTCTATTTTTATTATTATGTATGTTCATGTTTGAACATTCTGCCAGGGGCCCAAAAATGTTGTGGTTGTAAAAATTTTTATTTTTTGTTCGATGACTCGCAGGTCATCCAGTATTCGCATGTTTTCAAACAGTACATATGAATCTACATTAAAAATTTGTCGACTCTAGCTCTAAAGATGGAGCAGGTATAAATTTATTACTGACTAGCAGTCCCAGCAAGCGTTGCATTGCCCTACCCTTATTTCTAGGTAAAAAATGATTAAAAGGTATTTTGTTCAGGTTGGGATACACTCTAATTAATTTATTAATCAGATTTTCATTCAAGCACCTTGTGGTAAACGACATTCTTCGTTTTTTGGTCAGGTGCAAGAACAAATAATGCGGATGGTTTGCCAACACGTGAGCATGCCACGTACAATTGACCATGAGAAAAACACGCATTTTCTAGATTGAGGCCACAAATAGTCAAAGATTGGCCCTGTGATTTGTTGATCGTCATGGCGAAGGCATGTAATTATTGCATATGACGCGGGCTACCTGTGTATGTCGCTGGTAAAATAGTCAATCGACCAACATTTTCAGAATCTCCGTCTGTAATTATTGCATCGCGTAAATGAATATACTCTTCCGAACGCAATTTAGCTTGATTCAAACGGATGAAAGTCAGGCGCTCCGTTTCGATTTTCACGTACATGTCAACGCAGTATTGTTGAAACAGTCGACGAAATCGCAACAAATAATTGTCAGAATTTTCACGAATCATCAAACGATATGCGTAATAATTCATAGAACTAACCTTCTTGCCAGTTTCCTCACCTGAAACAAATGCAGTAAAAATTGTATTTTAGAGCCCCTAATAGGTTTACGACTCTTACAGCTACTCTCTACTAAATTAAGAGTGTTAATTTTTTTTGTGTACCAAAAGCAAACAGAATAAAATGTATATATAAAGTTAAAATGAAAACAATGATTGATCTTACCATTCAATGGATTTATCATTTTGATATTAAAGTGATATCCATCGTCTCCTTGCCAAAACATCAGCGGGTATTGTAAAGCGTCATATGAACGGTGCGTTTCAGATATTCTTTGTAGTTGCGCAGCACTGCGTCGTGTAAGCACAATATCGCGTGCTTCCAAGCTTTCACCAACAATCAGGATTGCCACTTCATCGATTGTTGGAGCATTAAATGTGCGTTCATGTGTTCCAGCTGGTCTTTTATCTGCTCTGATTACTATTTTATAGTCATCTCTTGGCATGCGCTCTAAAGCGGTCTTGAACAACTTGACCAATGCATGATGTTCATGAAGCATTTGCTGCAAATCTTGGAGAATTGCTCTTTTCATCGCAGTGTTGATTTCTTGGCGCCGATCAAGTTGCTCTTCCATATTGCCCATGAAGTATATTTGCAAGAATTTGTGCTGTTCATCTTCAATAGGTTGCAATGATCCAATGCGATGGCAAATCTGGCCTTGAATCTTTACATTCAAAGCCATAGTTATAGTTAGATTTACAAACACTTTTTACAGAAATCTAACCAACTACATTATCCCAAATAAGAAAATAAAATTTTTAACGTAAATTACCTTAAATGTCGGATTATATCCGTGTTCTTCAATAATTTCCGCCCCAAATGAAGTCATTTGGAAACAGGCATTGTATTTTTGAGTGTTCGCTAGAAAATGTCGTGATTCTAGTGTTTCGCCATAAAGCAGGGAACGCAATGGCTCTGGTGGCGAGACCACTAATGGCAATGTCACTTTACCACTAAGGCAGCACAAACCGGGCGTTTCACCAGCAAACTTCAATGCGCCACAATGCTGGCAAACAACGTCCATTGGACCAATGCAAACTAAACGATTCAAGCTGTAGTCAATGGTACAATCATATCGAAACGCTGCTCGATTCAAATCAATCCTTGAACCATTTCTTATTGCCGTTTCACGGGCTGCCTCTCTTTGAGAAGCACGAATTAAGGCCCTTCTTTGCTGGGTACTAACGCGGCGCCTTTCTCGTTCTTCGTCAGATAATTGACTCGCGGTATTCCGTAGCCTAATTGCATTATGGGTCCGCTGGGAAAGATTAGATCTTCTAGGACGCGGCATTTTCATTAATAGTAATACTGAATATGCACAATCGCACAAAACCACATAAAATATCGAGAAATCGAGAAATATAAATAAAAATTATTTACAAAAATAATGTCGAGAAATACAAATATAAATTATTTACAAAAATAATGTCTGAGAAAAACAAATTCAACAATACCTACCTGAACTTTCGAGATATTTTGCTTTTGTCCGTATGCGTATTGTTTTTCAAAATTTTTTTTTTTAACAAATGTGCTTTTTTATGAATAGTCAGGTTCGCCTGAGGCTGTGCCGTAGACTGACTGACTACATTTGTTTATTTACTTCTACACTATTGTCAAAACTGTCACTGTTACCAAGCCTACTGGGTATAAAAAAAATTTGAACATTTGGGGAAAAAACCGCGTTTTTCAAGTATTCGGCAAATTTTTTCAGTATTTTTAAGACCCTATACTAAACTCGTTGCGGAGACAAATCCAACAAATCAAAAACCATGAAAATTGGTTCAGCCCAAATCAAGTTATAAGCAGTCTTCACTTTTACACAACTTTCTTTTATATATATAGATTTGCGATAAAGTTTTTAATCGATAACAAAATAACTGGCCAAGTGATCGTTTTTTTTAAGAAAGACTCGATATGCGCGTGATATATACAGACAGACAGACGGATGGACGGATAGAGCTAAATCGACTCAGCTTTTCGACCAGATCAGGAATATATATACTTTATAGGGTTTTCCACACCTCCTTCTGCCTGTTACTTACTTTTAACAAAACCATTATACCCTGATTTCCCACTTTCAATGGGTTCAGAGTATAACAAGTAAGAAGACTCTAGTCGAGACTGCTCGACTAGGAGATACCCTGTACCCTCTAATTTGATATTCTAATCATTGCACTTCTTTTCGGCACATATACATGCACACGCACGTATTAGAACGCGCTCTGCTAACTGCGCAGTAAGCAGCGACTGCGCTTGGGCTGCGCTGCAGTGTGGGCAACATTACAAGAATTTATTTCTTGAATAACTTAATTTCAAAGCACAAGTCCCTAGTATTTGAAATACGCCTTTTAGAAATGTGATGGTGAGGGGGTGAATTAGGGGTGGGGGGTAAATTTTGACAAAAACCGAAATTGTATAAAATGCATATATTTTATCTACATATAAAATTTGGAGACTCTAGCTTTAAAGATGTAGGAGATATAAATTTATTACTGGTTTTCAAGTCTCTAGCTCTTATATCTTCTGAGATCGACGCGTTCAAACATACGGACAGACGGACGGACGGACAGACGAACAGAGCTAAATCGACTCAGCTCTTCGCCCTGATCAAGAATATATATATTTTATGGGGTCTGCCACGCCTCCTTCTGCCTGTTACATACATTTTACAAAACCATTATACCCTGATTTCCCATTGAAAATGGGTTCAGGGTATAAAAACAACGGGATCCATCCACTAAATGAAAACCGTTTTCATTGCTTATATGCAAGTTTAAGACTGTATCCTGGCAAAATTTGTAACTATACATCTACACTTAAGATTATATACATTCAAAACTATTATTTTTTTTTAAATATATAGAAATTCAAAATATTAATAGTTTGCATCAGGGTAGTATCTTGTTGATCACTCTTGACTAGAGTTTTTTTTTACTCGTAATTTCAGCATTTATTTTCGATTTCTAAACCATTTGCAATAGATGTGAACAGCTGGCAAACATTACTTGAAAATATCAAGTAACCCAAAATAAGTACATCTTAATGTTTCGTTTGTCCCTCCCACATGTTTCCCTTGGTTTGATTTGTGTTAGATTTCTTTTGGTCAACTTGAAGCTTTAACTCGGATCTTAGAGTCTTGTTTCATAAATTTTGATTTCCAAATACATGAAAAGTTTTAAATATTTGGAAGACTATCACCAACGAGTACACTACCAGAACTCTAATGTATGTAAGTTAAGCGCTCCCACACTAGAGTACTAGTGATTGGGGACGCTGTGTTGGGTTCTTGTGAATATAAGTTAAGACTTTCGACAATCTAAGGAGGCTGGAGAGTCCAGTCAGACATTCAAGGGGGAGAACCTAACCAGTAGAACACATTTAGTTTAGTATATATTCGGACTAGAGAGAGTTTAGACCTATTGTTCCAAATTATACAAAATATATTATTTCATTGAACACAAAGTTGTTATATATTCACAAGAACCCAACACAGCGTCCCCAATCACTAGTACTCTAGTGTGGGAGCGCTTAACTGGCGCCCGAGCAGGGACCCACATTCTTCACGGAAGTAAAGGGAAATGGTGACGTGTCAATAATTCTATAAAAATAACTTATTAAAAAAGCAAGTACAAATAAATTGTTCCAATCCAATAGGGCAATTGTTGGCAAAATTATGAAGTACTTCTGTGATTTGCAAAGTAATGGGGTGAAAGTGCTTGCCATAACATAATACAATAAATAATAACATAATTTCTAGCAAGTGTTGGTGTACTTGATAATTCTATAACATAAAAGAAATCGTGGCTAAATGGTGGTATTGGCAATACCTAGGTTCAAATCCGTGCCAAGACGACTCTTAAAACGAAAATAAAAGAAATTTGCAGGCATAATGGTGGTACGAGATTTATTCTCGTATCGAGGATCAAATCCTTGCCGTAAGACAAATGTCATAAAAAATAAAGGTCACAATTTCCACCTGTGTTGAATGATGGGTTTCCGTATAAATTAAAAGGAACCTAGTGGTCAAAATTAAGTTTAAAGCACTAACTAAAAGGCGGTTATCTGGAAATCTCTAATCAACAAGCAAAGCATAAATATGCAAAAATAAAAACATGAATTGCAGAGACCTTCTATTCGATCGTGGAATAACCCTTACCCTAATAGGTCTTAGAACCAAAGAGGAATACTTTGGGCTTCCCTTTCGGAAGAGAATAAGTCTGGCAACAATATAGAAAAGAAAAAAGTAAAATAAATAAATAAATGAAACGAAAGTAAGAGAGAGACCAGATGATTATGGAACCACCCTCACCTAAGTAGGTCTTACACCAAAAAGGATCCTGCGTGCTTCCCAAGCCATATAAAATAATAAAAACTGTTTGCCGGTTCGGTAACAAAAGATAACTAACAAAAGATAACTAACTAATAACAAGTAAGAAAGCTCTAGTCGAGACTGCTCGACTACGAGATCCCCTGAACCCTTCGAGCAATAGCTATTTCAATAATTTTTTGCGTATTTCTGCTTACACAAGAAACACGTGCACACACAAAAACATACACACACAAGCACCCACGCATAAACACGCATGGGTTGCAGTGTGCGCTTAATATGAGAACTTAATTGTTTCATAACTTTTTTTGTGGACATACGATCTTCATGAAATTTGTAGATCGTAATTATAACAATAATATGCGTGCACTTGCAAAAGCATAAGTCTCTAGTATTTGAAATACGCCTTTTACAAAGGTGATTTAGGGGTGGGGGGTAAATTTTAACAAAAAACGAATTTGTATAAAATGCATATAAATATACATTCAAAATTGGGAGACTGTAGTTCGAAAGATGTAGGAGATATAATTTTATAACTGATTTTCGATAAGGGTTTTTATCGATAAAAAAATCGGGATGATTTGTCGATTTTTAGTGATAAACTCGATATACGCGCTGTAAACACGGACATATTAAAAAAATTTGAAGTCTCTAGCTCTTATATCTTCTGAAATCGACGGGACTTCTCGACCGAGCGTCACGCAGCTACTCACTACGCCACCTCACTTCTAAAAGCTGCGCTGTCAAAACTCAAATAGATTCACTGCTGCAGTGCCATCTACCAAAACTAAACCAAACTAACAGCTGATGTGATTCAAAGAATGTTCCATAAGAAGTTTGAATGAACGTATACAATGCTGTTGTAGCGGCTGCACGTGCGTTTGTTAATTGGCCAAATATTTAATTGATTTTTAATTAATTTTTGACTGAATAAAATTTAAACTTTCAGCATATGATCTACATATTATATTGAATATTTGAGAAATTAAAAAAAAAAAAAAATTCACAATTAGCTGTAGTGGCATCTTGAACTTGAATGTTTTTATTCGATAAAAACATAACGGTATGATTTATCGAATTTTAAAAGCAAACTCGACATCCGCGCTGTTTATACGGTAATTTAAAAAAAAAAATTCAAGTCTCTAGCTCTTTTATCTTCGGAAATCGACGCGTTCAAACATACGGACAGACGGACAGGGCCAGATCAACTCAGCTCGTCGCCCTGACCAAGAATATATATTCTTTGTGGGGTCTGCCACGCCTCCTTCTGCCTGTTACATACATTTCAACAAAACCATTATACCCTGATTTCCCATTGAAAATGGGTTCAGGGTATAAAAAGGGTTATTTCTTAAAAATTGTTAATATTCCAAATACTTTTTTTTTATTATCTCATCAGGTTATACATATCAGTTATTAGCGTCATATTCTTGCTCTTGTCTCATAAATACAAATCAAGTATATAATGGAGTTGACAATAATTCATACAATTTTGTAAATATTTGGTTTTCGCTTATTATTACTTTTTCATGATTATTCGTATCAAGCCACTAATATATTTTAATTTAAAATTCTGTTATTTTCGATAATTGAAATACGTTTCAGCATATCATTATACAGTTGAGCAAAATTTGAAACAATATTTCGAATTTCCTTATTTTCAGCCTCCAACGCTGCAACTCTTCTTAAAATTTCCAAACTTGAAGAAGATTCAATGGTAATATCGTCAATCTGTAAAAAGAAAATACATTTAATTAGACATTACGTAATGTGTTTGAGAAGGCGAATAGTAATTAAAAATCATCTGTGAATGCTTTATTTGACATTTGGGAATCTTATTTAAATGTTAGTATTAAATAAATAAAATCGCAAATCTATAATATGTAGTACGTTTAATATGATATCAATAATAGGTATTGTCATTTAGGGATTATTTTTCTGATTGATTCGTTCTTTTTGTTAATGTAACTTTTTTTCTGTTACGTCCCGAATAATTGGACAGTATCGTCCGTTATATTTTGTATACCCTGAACCCATTTTCAATGGGAAATGAGGGTATAATGGTTTTGTTGAAATGTATGTAACAGGCAGAAGGAGGCGTGGCAGACCCCACAAAGTATATATATTCTTGATCAGAGCGACGTCTGTACGTATGTTTGAACGCGTCGATTTCTGAAGATTGATTTGTTTTTTAAATGACCGCATATACAGCGCGGATGTCGAGTTTGCTTTTAAAATTCGATAAATCATCCCGTTATGTTTTTATCGAATAAAAACATTCAAGTTCAAGTCAGAAGCCCCTATATAGCTAATTGTGAATGATTTTTCTTTTTTTTTTTTAAATTTGTCAGATATTCATATGCTGAAAATTTCATTAAATTCCGTTAGGTCAATCGACGTTATGTTTGGCCAATTAACAAACGCACGTGCAGCAGCTACAACAGTATACGTGTGCACACATACATTCAAACTTCTTCTAGGACAGCTGTTAGTTTGGTTTAGTTTTGCTAGATGGCGCTGCAGCAGTGAATCTTTTTCAATTTTGCCAGCGCAGCTTCCAAAACTAAGGTGGCGTTCGAATTCCGAGCGCGCAACTGATTTTTTTAATTGTTTCAAAATATTTATTTATTAATTAAATGAGTTTTGTATTTCATTTATATTTTTAAATACATCGCAATTTAAATTTTAGCCATACTAAATGGGCATTTTTATTAGTTTGGTTCAGGGTAGTATCTAGTCGAGCAGTCTCCACTAGAGTTTTCTTACTTGTTTAATATTATAATTTTCCTTAGAGTTCTATCCCTCTCTTCCATTAACAAAATCCTTGCTTTCAAGTCATCTTAGGGAAATCACTCGCATTGCCCAGGCGTAATCGTTGGTATACACTTGTTACCAAAGTTGCGCAGTGATTTTCATTATTCTGATTCTCATTCTGTTTCCTTTACTATTTTGTTCTTATCAATATTTTGTAATATTGTAACCATTAATACATAACAAACTGACGGCAGCGACAGAACGAGCACGTGTAGGTATGATTCTACATACTAAGGCCAAACCAAATTATTTAAAGATATAATATTCATTCAATTATTAAACCAATATAAGAAGGGAGCCGACGCTCCAGAGGTACTTATTATACCCAACAACCTTTGTACAAATGCTTTACTATTTCTAGTCTTATTTCGTACGATTATATCCTTCGAATATTTGTGCACTTTGAAATTGTTTTTATTTTAAAAGAAATCGAAATTCTATAAAGTACATATGAATCTACATTAAAAATTTGTCGACTCTAGCTCTAAAGATGGAGCAGGTATAAATTTATTACTGATTTGCGATAAAGTTTTTAATCGATAACAAAATAACTGGCCAAGTGATCGTTTTTTTTAAGAAAGACTCGATATGCGCGTGATATATACAGACAGACAGACGGATGGACGGATAGAGCTAAATCGACTCAGCTTTTCGACCAGATCAGGAATATATATACTTTATAGGGTTTTCCACACCTCCTTCTGCCTGTTACTTACTTTTAACAAAACCATTATACCCTGATTTCCCATTTTCAATGGGTTCAGAGTATAACAAGTAAGAAGACTCTAGTCGAGACTGCTCGATCTAATCTAATCATTGCACTTCTTTTCGGCACATATACATACACACGCACGTATTAGAACGCGCTCTGCGCTAACTGCGCAGTAAGCAGCGACTGCGCTTGGGCTGCAGTGTGGGCAACATTATAAGAATTTATTTCTTGAATAATTTAATTCCAAAGCACAAGTCCCTAGTATTTGAAATACGCCTTTTACAAATGTGATGGTGAGGGGGTGAATTAGGGGTGGGGGGTAAATTTTGACAAAAACCGAAATCGTATAAAATGCATAAATTTTATCTACATATAAAATTTGGAGACTCTAGCTTTAAAGATGTAGGAGATATACATTTATTACTGGTTTTCGATAATGTTTTTAATCGATAACAAAATAACGGGAAAAGTTATCGATATTTAAAGCAAAACTCGATATGCGCGTGGTATACACGGACCTAGGGAAAAAAATTTCAAGTCTCTAGCTCTTATATCTTCTGAGATCGACGCGTTCAAACATACGGACAGACGGACGGACGGACAGACGAACAGAGCTAAATCGACTCAGCTCGTCGCCCTGATCAAGAATATATATATTTTATGGGGTCTGCCACGCCTCCTTCTGCCTGTTACATACATTTTACAAAACCATTATACCCTGATTTCCCATTGAAAATGGGTTCAGGGTATAAAAACAACGGGATCCATCCACTAAATGAAAACCGTTTTCATTGCTTATATGCAAGTTTAAGACTGTATCCTGGCAAAATTTGTAACTATACACTAATGTCCATCTACACTTAAGATTATATTTTTATGAATATATATACATACATTCAAAACTATTATTTTTTTTAAATATATAGAAATTCAAAATATTAATAGTTTGCATCAGGGTAGTATCTTGTTGATCACTCTTGACTAGAGTTTTTTTACTCGTTGTAATTTCAGCATTTATTTTCGATTTCTAAACCATTTGCAATAGATGTGAACAGCTGGCAAACATTACTTGAAAATATCAAGTAACCCAAAATAAGTACATCTTAATGTTTCGTTTGTCCCTCCCACATGTTTCCCTTGGTTTGATTTGTGTTAGATTTCTTTTGGTCAACTTGAAGCTTTAACTCGGATCTTTGAGTCTTGTTTCATAAATTTTGATTTCCAAATACATGAAAAGTTTTAAATATTTGGAAGACTATCACCAACGAGTACACTACCAGAACTCTAATGTATGTAAGTTAAGCGCTCCCACACTAGAGTACTAGTGATTGGGGACGCTGTGTTGGGTTCTTGTGAATATAAGTTAAGACTTTCGACAATCTAAGGAGGCTGGAGAGTCCAGTCAGACATTCAAGGGGAGAACCTAACCAGTAGAACTCATTTAGTTTAGTATATATTCGGACTAGAGAGAGTTTAGACCTATTGTTCCAAATTATACAAAATATATTATTTCATTGAACACAAAGTTTTTATATATTCACAAGAACCCAACACAGCGTCCCCAATCACTAGTACTCTAGTGTGGGAGCGCTTAACTGGCGCCCGAGCAGGGACCCACATTCTTCACGGAAGTAAAGGGAAATGGTGACGTGTCAATAATTCTATAAAAATAACTTATTAAAAAAGCAAGTACAAATAAATTGTTCCAATCCAATAGGGCAATTGTTGGCAAAATTATGAAGTACTTCTGTGATTTGCAAAGTAATGGGGTGAAAGTCCTTGCCATAACATAATACAATAAATAATAACATAATTTCTAGCAAGTGTGGTTGCACTAGATAATTCTATAATATAAAAGAAATCGTGGCTAAATGGTGGTATTGGCAATACCTAGGCTCAAATCCGTGCCGAGTCGACTCTTAAAACGAAAATACAAGAAATTTGCAGGCATAATGGTGGTACGAGATTGATTCTCGTACCGATGTTGAAATCCTTGCCGTAAGACAAATTTCATAAAAAATAAACGTCACAATTTCCACCTGTGTTGAATGATGGGTTTCCGTCTAAATTAAAAGGAAAAATAGTGGTCAAAGTTAAGTTTAAAGCACTAACTATATAACAAAATTAAAAGGCGGTTGTCTGGAAATCTCTAATCAACAAGCAAAGCATAAATATGCAAAAATAAAAACATGAATTGCAGGAGACCTTCTATTCGATCGTGGAATAACCCTTACCCTAGTAGGTCTTAGAACCAAAGAGGAATACTTTGGGCTTCCTTTTCGGAAAAGAATTAGTCTGGCAACAATATATAAAAGAAACAAGTAAGAAAACTCTAGTCGAGAGTGCTCGACTAGATACTACCCTGAACCCAACAAATAAAAATGCCCATTTAGTATGTCTGAAATTTAAAATTCGGTGTATTTCAAAATATAAATTTGTAAGGTTACAATTTTACAGGTTATGTTTTTCAGCCGGGGTCAGAGTCTCAGTCTGCCCAGGGCCACAACTTACAAGACATTTGTAAATTAATACGGGACTACACGTGGTTAGAGAAATGGGAGAGGGTGGGGGAGTCGTTAAGTATTAAATGGCCACGCAGCCCGAACTCGCCGACCACGCCCGCACACGCTTGCACGTGGGATGGCTGCAGCGATCGAGTGGCGCGATCAAGCGCACTCTAGATTGCTGGGGTCGGGGCTACAAAGGCATATTGCGGGGTATTAGTGGGGCTACTATCGTTGGTGGATCGCAGATCGAGGAACGCCCAGCGTTGTCGCCGGCGTTCACTCCAGACCACGCGATTTTGTGTGCCAGAGTTTTGGCCTTCTGGCGAACAGGATTGCCCTCGTTCTAACCACCAGTTAGTGTTGTTATTATTAGTAGATTATTGTTGTCAAATCAACTACAAATGAGTACACAATCATTTCTATAGATACATTTAACATTTTTATTCCATATTATTACCTTACGTCCTTTACCCCTCGTTTATCTGTTTCTTATTTTCTTTGCTATCAACTGCTCGCATCGAGAGCTCAAAACTAACTAAATACTGCACGCAGCTTTCAAGCCTCTTCTGCCGCTGTGCAGATTTTACCACGCGACCAGCAATGCAATTCACCACCGCGAGCTTTCAAAACCGCACGGTTGCATTGCTGATCGCGTGCCCGCCTACTAATTTGAATTTTGCCTACTATCTAAAGCTAACGACTATGACACCTATATCTACTTAACTATCTAACACTTAGCCTACTTACTATCTACCAAAATAATCAATGACTCCAGAATGTAAACTTAATGGCTACAAAACTACAGATATAAACTTAATGACTATAATCCAATTCATTTCCTTTCACTATCTTACATACTACGAATATAACTCACTAACCAACTTACTTACTACAAATATAACTTACTACTGACTTACTCACTACAAATATAACTTACTGCTAACTTACTCACTACAAACTCCAGTAAACTCGACAGCTAGAATGCAATATGTAAGGTGGGCAAAAAGGCCACCTTACAAATTAAATAGAAAACTCATTTATGAAAAAATAAAAATATTTTGAAACAATTAAAAAAATTAACATCAGCTGCACCGGATCGGGATTCGAACCGCAACTTCTCGATCAAGCGTCATGCAGCTAACACACTACGCCACCTCACTTCTGCAGGTGGTGCTAGCAAAACTCAAATAGATTCACTGCTGCAGCGCCATCTACCAAAACTAAACGAAACTAACAGCTGATGTGATTCAACGAATGTTTCTAGAAGAAGTTTGAATGTATGTGTGCACACGCATACGATGCTGTTGTAGCTGCTGCACGTGCGTTTGTTAAATGGCCAAATATTTGATTATTTTTTATTAATTTTTGACTGAACGGAATTTAATGAAACTTTCAGCATATGATCTACATATTATATTGAATATTTGAGAAATTTGAAAAAATGAAAAATCATTCACAATTAACTATAGTGGCATCTGACTTGAACTTGAATGTTTTTACTCGATAAAAACATAACGGGATGATTTATCCAATTTTAAAAGCAAACTCGATGTCCGCGCTGTATATACGGTCATTTAAAAAAAAAATTGAAGTCTCTAGCTCATATACATATGAACCTTTGGGTAAATGTTTTACACTGTATAAGCAAATGAGGTTTTTATTTCATTTATATATTTTTACCCTGAACCCATTTTCAATGGGAAATCAGGGTATAATGGTTTTGTTGAAATGTATGTAACAGGCAAAAGGAGGCGTGGCAGACCCCACAAAGTATAAAAATTCTTGATCAGAGCGACGTCTGTACGTATGTTTGAACGCGTCGATTTCTGAAGATTGATTTGTTTTTTAAATGACCGCATATACAGCGCGGATGTCGAGTTTGCTTTTAAAATTCGATAAATCATCCCGTTATGTTTTTATCGAATAAAAACATTCAAGTGAATGATTTGTCATTTTTTTTTTTTTTTAATTTGTCAGATATTCATATGCTGAAAATTTCATTAAATTCCGTTAAAAGAGAGTTCTCAGTGAGAGTTAACAGACGTGTTTACTATTGTGCTCTTCAATTATTCTTGCTTTCTTAGTTAATTATTTTTATTAAATTTCACATAATTGCGGTTCGGTTGTATATAGCAAATATCTATATTATCCTGTGCAAGGTTTGATCCGTTGTTCACTGCGTTTTTAATAATTTGCTTTTTTAATTTGTGAAGCTTTGTGTGCAGTGTCGGTTCATTAGTTTCATTATTTGCATTTTTGCTTTAGTGTTTCTATTTGTTGGCGCTCTCCCCAGTTCACTCTTTCTAAGTTTGTGTGAGTGTGTGCATAAGTTGCTCTCACTATCTACGGTTGTTGTATTTGCCTCTCTTGAATCTTTGATTTTTGTGGTGTGCAAGTATACTCTCTCGCTGAGGACTTTTGATCTGCTCCGTAACGGCTGTTTTTGTTGTTGACTCGCTCTCTCAACATATATTTTCGTTGCGCTCTGTAACGGCTGTTTGTTGTTGGACTCGCTCTCAACACATTTATACCTCTCTTTGTTGTGACATTTCTGTTTACATTCAGTAATTTTGTGATCTATCCCGATTGCCAATATGAGTTGCTGCAAAAAAGCTTGCACTTTCAGGCAAACAGTTGATTCTGCACAAGCGCAATTTATAAGTTGCTGGCTGTGTGATAACATGATGCATACTAAGTGTGCAGGTCTTACTGGGCGTGAATATGACAAGATTATGTCTACTACTAAAGCTGGTAGTGGAGGCATACGCTGGTCTTGTCCGATTTGTTTGGAAAAACAAATAAACTTTTCTAAAATGTATAGTGCTGTGAGGTCTCAGTTTTTAAAACTGAAGAAGATTTCTATGCAGTTGACCAGTGACATGGCTGCTGCTGAGGAAATCTTAAATCAGTACGGCTTTGAAAGTCCTCTCTCTCAATTGGATACTCCTTTGTTGTCGGTAACTCCTTCTGTAATAGTACCGTCACCTAATTCGCTTGCTCCTCCCTCACCTTGCGCTTCTGTTTTGTCGTCGGCTCCCAATTCTCTAGATCCTCCTTCACCTTGTCCCATATCTGTTTCTCCTATTGAGGCTTCTATTGAAACTCAAGCCCCTGTCCCAAATTTGGATGCTACTTCTATTGTTGCTCAAACAATGAGTGTCAATAAGTCAGCCTCTCATAGCATTACCTTATCTGTTGTCTCTCCTAGAAAGCAAGTTTTCTTATCTAGGCTTTCATCTGACACTACCATTGAGGCAGTATCGGCTTTTATCTCAAATAAGATTCCGGTTAATGTTTTTATATCGAAGTTTAGTTTCGCGACACCGCGTGAAATTGCTTCGTTCAAAATCAATGTGCCTGTAGAACACTTTAAAACCCTTTGTGACCCTAATTTCTGGCCACCTCATGTAGTTGTTCATGAATTTAAACCCAAAAATCGTAACAGATCGATGCCTATTTCAGTAAATTTACCTTCGGTGCAATCTTCATCAAACGTTGTACCAAAAAACTAAATTACTTACAAACCTCTTCTCAGCTGTCCCTGATTTATCAAAATGTACGTGGCTTAAACTCAAAACTTAAAAGTCTTTTCTTGCATAGTTTCAGTGTACAATATGATATTATCGCTTTCACTGAAACATGGCTAAGTAGTAATATTCATAATAGTGAAATTCTTTCAAGTAATTTCACTATTTATAGACTCGACCGTTCGTCGCGCAGAGGTGGTGGGGTGTTAATTGCGGTTAAGTCCATTATCCACTCTGAATTGTTTACCTTTTCGTCCCTTTATGATGTGGAGATTATAGCGGTTAAATTAACTCTGCCATCGTGCTCATTATACATCACATGTTCTTATATCCCTCCCTCTTCTGATGTACAAGTTTATGCTCACCACATAAATTGTATTAAACAAGTTAATGAACATGTAAATGATAGAGATTGTCTTCTTGTGTTGGGTGATTTTAATATTCCGAACACTTCTTGGTCTTCAACTTGTAATGCAAATTACTTTATTCCGACAATTGATCACTATCTTTTTGATGAATTGTTTAACCTGTCTATGTTTCAGATGAACTCTATTTCAAACCATCTTAATCGCACTCTTGATCTTGTGTTTGTTAATCATGATTCGCTAATTAATGTCGCGAGATCAACTCCTTTCTCCTTACCTGAGGATATATATCATCCCACTTTAGAGGTTTTATTAACTATCGACAATCCTCCCTCTAATACTCCAATGCCTTCTAAACTTAGTCGCTGTTATCGTAAATGCAATTTCGTTTTGCTTAACGAACTAATTAATTCAACAGACTGGTCTATTTTATATGAGTCGGTTGATATTAATTTAGCAGCATCGTTTTTTTTATTCTACCTTAAACTCTATTCTGGATGTTTGTGTCCCTCTCCGCCGTATTTCGCCAGTTTCAAATAAGCCACCTTGGTTCACCAAAACTCTTTCGAACTTGAGAAACATTAAAACTAAATGTTTTAAAAATTACAAAAAGTCTGGTTCAAGTATTGACTGGTCCAAATATTCCATTGCCAAGTCAAACTTCAATCTTTTAAATTCTAGCTGTTATGAGAATTATCTTACACGTTGCAAACGTCAGTTTACTCGTGATCCCAAACAATTTTTCTCATTTGTAAACTCGAAGCGTAAATCCTCTGGTTTGCCGTCCTCATTTGTCCTTG